TATGGATCAGTCACTTTTTGGCTGCTAATTATCAGGCTGTTTGCTTGTTACCTGTGTAAGGAAGCCACACAGCAGGTATCATGTTACAGTTACATATGACCTATGACAGGAAAATGAGGGTCAGTATTAAAATCTTGTGTCAGGCTGTTTCATCACTTGATGTCTAATCTGTGTTTAAAGAATAAATGATGCAGTTTTAGGGGGTTTTCAGGCCGGAGGCTTCTCACATGCTACAACGTCTTTAATGTATTCACTCTGTTATTTTCAGTCAACAAGGAGGTCTCCTATGAGGATCTGAAAGCTCTTCTAGAAAAGAGCGAGAATCTCTTCCTGGTTGACGTTCGCTCCCAAGGTGAAGTGGATAAAGGGCGAATTCCAGGATCTGTTCACATCCCAGGTGAGATTCTTTTATTTTCATTTATAGGGAGAGAAATCGATGATATCAACCATATATCTCATCCTTATTGCTGAATTTCATTTATTTCCCCTCACGGTTCCCACTAATCATCCAGAACCAGACTTTAGCTTCTGGGTGTTGATGTGTCTACTTGAAATACCAGTGTGTCGTTTTGGATAATCATCATTCCACTGTAGTCTGGTTCTTCAGGTTACAAATATCTTTCCATTGATCTAAATGTTTTATGTAATCTCAAAGTTTTTTTTCTATCCCTCCCTTCATTCATTCAGTGGATACAGTCGAAGCTGCGTTTGCAATGCAACCAGAAGAATTCAAGTCCAAGTATGGAGTGACCAAGCCACCGATGGACGCCCCTGAGCTGGTGTTTCACTGCCAAATTGGCAAGCGAGGTGGAATAGCCACGAGCAAGGCCCAAGAGCTAGGATACGTGAAGTAAATAAATAAATAAATGTTTACTATAAATAATACACACAAGCACACACGTCTTGCTTTTAATGACCATGAGTATTTGAAGTTGTTATGTAATGATGACTACTCTTGCTTGCCTTGTGTTTCAGTGCTCGTAATTATGCTGGAGGATTCAGGGAGTGGTCTGAGAGAGAAGGGAAGTGACTCATGTTGAAGGAATGCTTCATATGTATTTATAAAAAGTAGCAATTGTGGAAGCTTAAGAAAAAAAATTGAGAAATATTTTATTTGCTACCTTTTGACACTGTTTTGTTTTCATATTTAAAATGTATGAATTAATTCAAATAAAATTGATCATGCTATTTGGTAATGTTTACATTTATTTGTGTGGCTCAGTCTTGAAAGCTCTGCTAAACTTGAAAGACACTTCCTGCACAGTATAAAGATGCACACAGTGGTCGCATAAAATTGATAACAAACATGAAGGCCTCATAAAAAGTTAGTGAGTTTCAGTTCAGTCACGTCCCTAAATGGTCATAAAAAAAACTGTAGTTCTTGTACAATAATAACTCATCCTGTGGACACTAAGTGGAGGCTGGTGTGTATCATAATAGGAGAAGT